CAGGAGTTGGAGGTTGCTGTGAGCTGTAATGCCACGGCACTCTACCCAGGGGGACAGCTTGAGGCTCTGTCTCAAAAAAAAAAAAAAAATTAGATTCTTAAAGTAGATTTGATTTATTTAATTTTAAATACAGGATTTTGCAGGTTCACACAAATGTGTGATAACCAAATCCAACATCCCTGGCCTCTACTTTGACGGGTAGTCCCCAGCTCCTTTTCTCAGATGGGTACTAAAGGAATGAAGTGTGTTAGTTACTGAAACCTAAGTTACTTTTAAGCCAGGCCCATGATTACACGGAATTACTAATACGCTATTTATAGGTACATACCCCACCAAGCATGCTACATCCAAGCGCTAAAAATTTTATCCACTCGATTCTTTTTTCACAGGAATCCAGTTGTAAGAGAGCTCTGAACTTTTCTATTGGCAGGCACAAATTTTTCCACTTCTGCTCCAGATCTGCTAATTCCACATACTGCTTGTGGCTACACTGTTTAGAAAACATAGTAGGACACAATTCATGTCATCAGTTTTAAAAACCTGTGAAACAATATAGTTTGTCAATACTTAAACACATGCCAAAACCGACCCGAGCAGGGGAAGATGACCTTTAAATTCATGACAAGTGATTTGTGTCGGGCCTGGGGAGGGAGAGCTGAGGAGGGACATGCAGGTAGGGAAGGTGGCCGCCAGCTCCTTTTCAGCAACATTTTATTTCTTAGAAGAAAAAAAGAGCATTGAAATGAATATGTACTGGGCTCTCAGGAGAACTGGAAGCCAGAAGCCACTTCCCACTGTGGGGTGCAAAAGGGCCACTCTATCTTCGGATGAAGATGGCAGCTTATAAATTCAGGATGTGCACAACTTTTATAAATGCACACTACAAATGGGGAATTATAACACTGAATTCTGGAATTTTGTATTTCTTGTCCATCAGAATCTAACATCATCTTAATTTTGTCTTTAAAAGAAAATTATATTTCACTTTTCTAGAATCAATTCATGAGTAGCTATTTGGGGTTGCTTAAATAAGCCTAGAGAAAGCCCACTGAGTACAACATACCCCTTCATGAGTAAGCTCTGAAGCTCCTGGCAGGGAAAGCAGGGCTCCCGGGGAGGGCTGGGCGGTTCTGTCAGGGATTTATGTGGTGAGCCTGCTCTACCACCAGGCCGTGAAAGGTGCAGGGACAGTGCACTGATGACAAAGACCCTCCTATACCTGCTTGTGCAAAACTTTCAAGAGTCCTTGAGTCAAGCCTGTGTCTGTTTTCTGGGTAGCCACGGGCATTTCAATTCTGTCCTTTACAGGAAGTGGATCTCCTCTCGACAAAGCTGAAAAATAACTAATAATAACAACAATAATTCTAATAATAATTCTGAAGGCTCATCAATACACAAAGAGCCCCTTATACAAGGCAGTTTCTCTCACAACCCAGGAAAACCGCAGTGATGAGAAAGGAGCCTACAGCGCCCCCCTCCCCCCGGCACTGGCTTCAGTTCCGGTTCCTCCATTTAGTTCTCTGCACTGCCCCGTTTCCCCATCAGCGAAGTAGGGTAGTGAGAGTCTCAACTGTAGGGTTCCTAGGAGTGCTGAGTAAGAGCGAGCCAGCACTCACACCGGCTGACCATGTGCTATTCTTATTGAGCACATGCTACAAGGGCAATGTCCCTAAAGGCAGGGGAAGATTCTGGGCCCTGGAAGTGATTTAAGTGCGATGTCATGATACAGTCGTCCTGCTCTTCACAGTCTGGGCTTGTCTTCCGTCTTCCTGGTCTTGCTGCTCTCTGAGGTGCTTAACCCTAAGCATTTCTCCATGTCCTGCTCTGACAGCCTAGATTTGCAGATGACACAGGGAATGTCCGGTGCCACCTTCTCTCCCACCTTCCTGCCTGGTATTTTCCCCCTTAAGTGTTCTTTTCTGGGTCACTGATATTGCTGCTTATGTTGGGGATCAAAGGGGGCATGGAAATAGTTTGGGGATCCTCTGGCTCAGTGCCCCGTAGCACAGTGGTGACAGTGCCGGCCGCATGCACCCAAAGCTGGCGAGTTTGAATCTGGCCTCAGCTTCCCAAGTAGCTGGGACTACAGGCGCCCGCCACAACGCCTGGCTATTTTTTCTGTCGTTGCTGTTTTTGTAGATGTCATTGTTGTTTTAGCAAGCCCAGGCCCGGTTCAAACCTGCCAGCCCCCTGTGGATGTGGCTGGCGCCTTAACCACTGAACTATGGGTGCCAAGCCTAAATCCTGCCTTTTAATTAGGCTTGAATAATGGTTAAAACTAGAAGCCATCTCTCTTTTTTTAAATAAGAACCTTGAAAGAATCTTTCAGAAACAACTGAGAAAAGTGGTTCTCAGAAGATAAGCAACGGGTTGACCAATAGCTCTGTTGGTAGGTTAAACGACAGCCCCCAAAACATCCAGGTCCTAATCCCTGGAACCTGTTGATGTTACTTTATATGATAACAGCACTTTGCAGGTTGATTAAGGATTGTAGATCTGAACATTGTCTTAATTATCTGGATGGCTGCTGAATGTAATCTCAAGTATCCTAAGGAGAGGGAGGAGGCAAAGGGAGATTTGAAGACACTGGTTTTAACATTTAGGAAGTAGCTATTTACCAAGGAGTACAGGAATGCAGCTCCAGAGCCTGAAAAGAGCAAGGAAATGGACTGGACTCTCCCCAGAATCACCCAAAAGAGCAAAGCCCTGCCAACATCTTGACTGAAGCCTTCTGAAACTCATTTTGGACTTCTAGCCTCCAGAACTGTAAGGATATACAGCTGCTGTTTTAAATCTTGTTTCGTGGAAATGTTACAGCAGCCAAAGGAAATAAATTCATCTTGATTATACATGCTTAGAGAAAGTCAACAAGATATGACCTGTTGGTGACTCAAATATTTAAGTATACACCTATACTGACTTGTCATCAAAAAAGCGAACTTTTGTTCTATGTCTAGTTACTAAAAAGGGGCAAAGAACCCTTCTGTAAAATCGAAAGGACTTACTTTACTGCTTCTAAGGCCAGTTGACTTGTAATTTTAACATTATGAATGTCTGGTCCTGGAAAGGACTGGGATGTTTGTGGCAAGAAAGTGGGCAGGTTTATTCGTTGTGAATCTGTTAGGAAGAGTTTATTTGTCCTTAGTAGCCATGGGTGGATAACCTCGGTATGATCTTCGTTGTGTGGTTCTTTGCTTTCTTGAGACAGATTGTCACTATGTCACCCTCTGTAGAGTGCCATGGCATCACAGTTCACAGCAACCTCCAACTCTTGGGCTTACGCGATTCTCTTGTTTCAGCCTCCCAAGTAGCTGGGACGACAGGCGCCCGTCACGATGCCCGGCTATTTTTTTGTTGCCGTTGTTCAGCAGGCCTGGGCCGGGTTGGAACCCGCTACCCTCCGTGTATGTGGCTGGAGCGTAACCACTGTACACAGGCACCAAGCCCGTGATGTGGTTCTAATAGACTTAACCAGTAGGTACATAACTCTGGGAGCATTCTGTGTGGACCACAAACACAGCTAAAAGATTCCTCTTTGTAAAAATCTTAGTTCACAGGTAAAGTGACAGTAATAGTGTGATTTTTTAACATAATACAGAAAGTTTTTAACCCAAGCAATTGCTTTGTTTTGGTCTATATCGTCACAATACCGCTCTTCATCCACGGAGTGGCCATTACTTGGTATGTAAGTGAGCATTTTACAAGTCTCCGGCCCCTGTGATCAACAGACCGTAATGGCCCCTAGATGGACACCTAGGAGCGGACGCCGGCACCGCTGGGGGCATGTGGTGCCTGGCGCTCCGAGGGGGACAGGAAGGCTCGCGGGGCTCGCCGAGCGCTGCCGGGGGGCTCTTACCCCGCGGACCACTGCAGCACGTCGGCAGGCTGGGTGCGGATGGCCGCCTTGGTGAACTGCTTCAGGATATCCGGCAGTTCCGGGGGAATGTGGATCTGCTGCGCGCAGAACATGGTGTCGGGAAGCGGCATCGCTCTCTGCCGACTGGGACCGGGCTGGGGGGAATCCAGGTGTGCTGCGGAGAGGAGGCGCAGCCCATCAGCTTGGGGCGTCCCCGGCCAGGGCCGCCCGCCCTCTCCCGAGAATGGGGCCGACTTCGCAGGGCCTGGAAGACGGGCAGGAGCTCTTACCCGCTCCTCCTTGGCCTCCTCGGCCTCCTCGGGAAATGGGGCCAACCGCCGGTCTAGCGACACCCCAAGCCCTCTGGCTCGCGAGCCCTAGCCGCCGCTAGTATTGTTCCTTGGTATCCAGGCAACCGGGACGCGCCAGGCCCCGCCCCCTGGCCCGCGCACGCACACACGCCCAGGATCGAGGCGGGGGGCGGAGCCGGGAGGGGATGGGCCTGCGCAGTCGGGCTCCGCGTTGCTTCGGCTGCTAACCGGTGGTTGAAAGCAGCGCGAGCTGGACGTTTCACTGTTCCGCAACCGAATGGGGGCCGCGAGTTGGCAAAGGACTCCCTTTTGCTTTTACTGTAGCTACATGAGGCCTGGAAGCGAGGTGACTCGCATCTTCTTGGCAAGAAAGCCGTTGGGGTCGTCGGGGCTGGCGGTGCAGGCAGCACGAGGCCCCGGACCCCGCGGCCCCAGCAGCTTCTCCGCAGCGTCTCCTTCCTCGCGGCTACCATTGCCCAAACCGCCTCTCAGCCGACCTCTGGTCTCCGATGGGCAGTTTCCGGCTAAATATTCTATTTATCTTGTTTTCCTAAGTGAGATAGGGTAGTGGAGTCAATCTGAGTCTAGGGGGAAACAAACCATTTACTGATGACAAATATAAGTCGAAGGGTAGGGGAAATTTGGATTCTGGTGGATGCAGACCAGGGCGGCCAGTGAGGTGCAAGCGTGGGGTTAGGGGCGTCCCCCTGGCCGCTGCGGTGTGGACAAGGCTCCAGACTGCCTCCCCTAGTTCACCTCCAGGCAGGAAGCGGGAGAACCACGTGAGTCACAAGAAGCTGTCCCACCAGGGACCTGGTGTGTGTGTGTGCCTGATTTCGATCTTTGCCTTTGGGTCCACACCCACCCCATGAATACACACGCATATTTCCAGATTGACAGCACTAGCAAAAACTGAAAATAGTCACTTTAAGTTTGATAACAGTATGAAAACAAATCTCTTACACTGCTGATGACAGTATGAAAACAGGAATCCCTTACACTGTTCAGGATGTGAACTAAAACTCTTAAGGCTCTCCCCCCATGCCCTGCAGCTGACTGGACCTACTCGTAGCCAAGGGGATCTCCTCAAACATCAGGCATGCTTGATCCTGTCCCTCCCTTCTTAGAGGTGTCCATTGTGAGTCATTAACGTACAGTACAAGGCTATGCCGGACATAACTTCAAGTCCTCAACATACACAATAAACTACTTGAGTCTGGGCATACTGTCTTGTAGTTTGTCTCTAATTAACAAACCCTTTTTAAATTTTGTTTTAGAGACAGTCTCACTATGTCACCCTTGGTAGAGTGCTGTAGCGTCACTGCTCACAACCACCTCCAGCTCTTGGGCTTAGGTGATTCTCTTGCCTCAGCCTCCCGAATAGCTGGGACTACAGGCACCCAGCTATTTTTTGTTGCAGTTTGGCCGAGGCATGTTCAAACCCACCACCCTGGGTCTATGGGGCTGGTGCCCTACTCACTGAGCCACAGGTGCTGCCCAACAAACCCTTATCTAACTTAGCATTCCTTTTCATGGACTCCTGATCTACTAGACTGAGCCTCTTTCAGCCAATTGACAGCAAAAGAATCTTTAAACCCACCTATATAACCTGTAAGCCATCTGCTTTGAGATGTCCCCACCTTTGGGGGCCAAAGCATTAATCTCCCTTCCAGAATAGACCTCTTTAAATTATTTTACAGAGTATGGCTTCTTTTCCATCAACAGGACAATTTAGCACAAAAAGATTTTTTGATGACTTAGCAATATTCTAGGAATTTATCCTACAGAAATAGTATAAAAAAGAATTCAGGCAAAAGTGTTTATTATAGCATGTAATTAAATGGGCTAATTGTCTTTTGGAAAACTTAAATCATGGTCTGTCCACACAATAGAATACAATACAGCTAGAATTAAAAAAAGAAAATGAAGTAGCTACTTATGTATTGAAACCATGCCTCAAAGAGTTAAAAGAAACCAATGACTAGCAGAAAGTCTTGAGCTTACAGGATAGCAGATAAGAAACAACAAAAAAAAAAAAATAAAAACCTCTCTCCACTGGAGATTAAAAAAAAAAAAAAAACTGGCTGAAATCAGTTAGAAACCTAGAACCAATATAGCCAACTGGAATTTTTTTTTTTTTTTGGCCACGGGCCGGGTTTGAACCCACCACCTCCGGTATATGGGGGCTGGTGCCCTACTCCTTGAACCACAGGCGCCGGAAGCCAACTGGAGTCTTAAGGGAAAAGGAGCTTGGTCAGGTCTGAATTTCTGCCCCACATTTCCTATTAACTCCCCTCAGTCTGTACATGCAACCCATGAGGCCACATTAACAGATTAATTGCAAAGAACACTTTCCAGTCACCCTCTTCTTTCCTTCCCCCAATCACCTGCTAATCCCAGAATCTGCCCCTGCCCCAGTACTTTTCTAATGAAAGTACTGCCCTTAAGCCAGAGTAGGAAGACAGGTTTCAGCTGGCCTCCAGTCTCCATGTTGGTTGACTTGGAAAAAAGCTCTTCTTTCCTCAAAAAGCCAGTGCCACACTTCTGTAGAGCCTATTGCTTGATAACAAAGAGGTCCTAGAATATAACATGAACAAAAGCACCAAGATGACAATGGTTATGTGTAGTATGATACTTTTATTGTGATAAATGCTCCTGTGAATGTATGCTTATCCAGAACACTGCCTGGAAGCATAAACAAACCTATTAACAGCAATTGCCTCTGGAGAATGGAACCAGACTTTCAGGTTTTATTTTAGCTATACATACTTATTTTGATTCTGAATTCGTCATTTATTTAATTACCCAGCAACACTTACTACCAAGTATGTAGCAGAGACTATTCTGGAAATACAGTTGCAATTGTTCTTTTAAAACCTCTGGAGTTTACATTCAAGTGGGGAAAACATGCAAATATAAAAAAAAGGTAAACTATAGGAGTACAAAAGAAAAAGTACAGCAGGGAAAGGTGACAGTAATGTCCTAGTAGCTGCAATTTTAGATAAGCCTCATTGAGAATGATACTTCAGTAAAGAAATGAGGTTGAGGGGCACCTGAATAAAGAATTTTGGGCCAGCTCGGCACCTGTGGCTCAAGTGGCTAAGGCACCAGCCACATACACCTAAGGTGGTGGGTTCGAATCCAGACCAGGCCCACCAAAACAATGACGGCTGCAACCAAAAAATACCCAGGCTTTGTGGTGGGAACCTGTGGTCCCAGCTACTTGGGAGGCTGAGGCAGGAGACTCGCTTGAGCCCAGGAGTTGGGAGGTTGCTGTGAGCTGTGGTGCCATGGCACTCTACCCAGGGGGACAGTTTGAGGCCCTGTCTCAAAAGAAAAAAAAAAAAAGCATTTTTTTCTTTTGGCCATGACAAAGAATAAGTGTCAATGTCCTGAGGTCCAAAATGTTCTGGAAGCAGGGCAGGGAGGACCCGAAAAAAAGTAAACACAGGTGATGGGGTCAGAGTAGTGAGGAAAAGGATGCCACGTGTCTTGCCTAGCATTGAAGACCACTGTAGATGCTGAGTGTGGGTTTGGAACAGAGTGCTGATAGGATCTGACACGGCTCAACAGGAACACTATGGATGGAGGTCAAAAATGAAAAAAGAGCAAGGGCAGAGTCAGCAAGCTCAGGAGAAATACAGGTAACAGTGCCAGGACAACAGCAGTGGACATGGCCAGATTCTTTTTAAGATAAAAGATTTGATCAGATTGGATATGGCGTGGGAAAAAGCGTCAACGGTTTTGCCAACATTTTTGAGTTAGCCACTTAATCCATCCAATTTTGCTTTGTAATTGAGATGCACAAGTTTGAGGAAATGGCAGGTTTAGGGTAAATGTCTGAACCTAAGTTTGAGGTGTCTGGAAGATGTCCACATAGATGAGTACAAATACATGCCTGGAATTCAGGGGAGGAAGATGGAATATATCTGTCTACATTTGGGAGTGATCTTTTTTTTCACTGTCACCTTCCATAGAGTGCCATGGTGTCACAGCTCACAGCAACCTCAAACTCTTGGGCTTAAGCAATTCTCTTGTTTCAGCCTCCCAAGTAGCTGGGACTACAGGCACCTGCTACAATGTCCAGCTATTTTTTGTTACAGTTGTCACTGTTGTTTAGCTGCCTCAGACCAGGTTTGAACCCACCAGCCTCAGCGTATATGGCTGCTGCCGTAACCACTGTGCTATGGGCGCTGCCTGGTAGTGATCTTTAAAGCCATGAGACTGAGGAAACCAAGTCAACAGGCTGGAAGACAAGATAGAGCCAGCCAAGGTTTAAAAGTAAGAGTCCAGACCCATGGGAAGAAAATAAGGAGCGTGTAAGTTTCTACCAGCCAAGAGAAATGGTTTCACTGGAGAGAGTTCAACCATATCAGATGGGATAAGAAAGATAAGACGTGAGAATTAAACACAATATTTAGATGTGGTCATTGGTGATCTCTATAAGAGCAATTCCAATGAAACGCAGGCTGAGCATCCAAAATTTAAAATGACCCCAAATCTGAAACTTTAGGAAATGCTCATTGGAACATTTCAGATTTGGGATGCTCAACCAGACAGAAATACTCCAAAATTCAAAGAAAACTGAAATCCAAAATACTTCTGGTCCCAAGTATTTTAGCTAAGGAGTATTCAACTGTAGTTGGAGTGAACACCTAATTGGAACAGTCATAAGAGAATGAGAGAGGAAAAATGGGTACAATAGATACAGATAACTCTTAAGGTGTTTGTTAAAAAGGAAAGTAAAACATAGCAATTGAAGACAAAAGTGGGATTAACAGTTTTTAGTGGAAGAAATCACAGCAATGTGTGAATGATCCAGAAGGAAGAACTGCAGAGCAGTATACTTGGGCAGGCCAGAGCCATGAAATCTAACTGAACCAACAGAGGGTGGATAGTTGCAAGCAGCTCAGGGGATCCTCTTGCACTGCAGTCTACATCAAGGGCTGGCACGTGGTGGAGGGGACATGGCACAGCCTGTTAGGAGCTCAGTTAGGTGGCCAGGACAGGTGCAGGTGAGAGAGTAGGTAGGTGTCGTGCTGTGAATTTGTGACACTGCTGCTACCTTCTTGGTGAAATGGAAATAAAAGTCATCAGTCAAAATCCAGGTAGTACTTCAAGGAAAGACAAGGTGTAAGGTAGTCTTTTACAAGAACATATTAGGAACAAAGCAATACTTTTAAAAACTGACACATAATTTACAATAAATCATACAAATTTAGTGTAAAATTTGCCGTTTTGACCTATGCATACATATTAAACTAGAACCACATCAAGATAATGAACACATCCATCATCCACATATCTTTGTGCTCCTTAGAAATCCCTCCAAGTCTCTCCCTTTCAAGCCTCACCCTCACTGATCTTTCTATAGGTTTCCATAGATTACTTTGCAATTTCTGAAAGTTTTTACAGGTAAAATCATACTGCATGGCCTAATTATTTTCAGAGGTGTCTATGTTGTATATATCAACAGTTAATTCCTTTCTGTTGCTAAATGCTATCCCAGTATATGGATAATCACAGCCTGCTTATCCATTCACTTGTGAATGGCTATGTAGATTACTTTCAGCTTTAGGCTATTACAAAATAAAGCTACTATGAACGCTTAAGTCCAAGTCTCCCCATGGACAAAAGCTTTCTTTTCTCTTGGTAACTAGTATTAAGTACACATGAAATTACCAAACTGTTTTCCAAAACAGTTGTATGACTTTATATTCCCTTCAGCAAAGTATGCCAGTTCCAGTTTCTCCACATCCTCCCCAACACATGGTACATCAGTATTTTCAATTTTAGACATTCTAATAGTGGTATCTCACTGTGGTTTTAATTTGCATTTTCATATGACTAATTATGTTGAGCATCTCATGTGCTTATCTGTAATCTATACCTGTTTAAATATTTTGCCCAATTTTTATTTTTTATTTTTTTAGCAAATATCCTATCTGTTGGAATTTTACCCATTTTTTAAATGGGTAAATGGGTTTGCTCATTATTCAGTTTTGAGATTTCTTTATATATTATAGATCTGTATCTTTTATCAGGAATGTTTTACAAATCTTTCTGCCACTGTATGTTTTCTGTTTTTTGTTCTCTTAGTGGTATCTTTCAAGAAGTTTTCAATTTTGATAAAATGCAATTCATCAGTATTTTCCTCCATAGACTGCTTCTGTTCTATCTATGAAGTCTTTGCTTAACCCAAGGCTAAATATGTTTCCCTTGGTTTTCTATTACAAGTTCAGGGTTTTACATTTAGAACTATAACCCATTTTAGGTTTAATTTTTGCATGTGGTTAAGATATAGATCAATGTGTTTTTAACCTTACATCTTTTTTTTGTTTTGTTTTTTGAGACAGAGCCTCAAGCTGTCGCCCTGGGTAGAGTGCTGTGGCATCACAGCTCATAGCAACCTCTAACTCCTGGGCTCAAGCAAGTCTCCTGCCTCAGCCTCCCAAGTAGCTGGGACCACAGGCACCCACCACAACGCCTGGCTATTTTTTGGTTGCAGCTGTCACTGTTGTTTGGCGGGCCCAGTCTGGATTTGAACCTGCCACTTTAGGTGTATGAGGCTGGCACCTTAGCCACTTGAGCCCCAGGCGCCAAGCCTAACCTTACATCTTGTATCCAATCATTTCAGCACCATTTTTTCAAGGCTTTTTTGAATCTTTGTCAAAAATCAGCTATCCACACATGGGTGAGTCTATTTCTAGACTCCCTACTCTGCTCCATCAGACCAGTGGACAGTTGGTAGAATGAACTGATGGATATGAAGCTTCTCTTCTTTTGGTATGTCCTAAAGAATTACTGAATAAACGTAGAGAAGCAAAAAAACCCAAGCATTGTTCTATGTATAAAGGAAGAAATTTCAAAAAGATAAAGCAATGGAAAATGATGCAAAAGGGACTTCTACCTAGTGTTTACATTTGGATGATTTGATAAAAGTGTGGTTCTTTTTTACAGGAAGCTAAAGTGTAGTTCTGAGAGAAACTAGACCACAGAAGGCTAAAAAAGTGGATGGGGTAAGGGGTTGCTTATATATACAAAACAGTAATAAGAAGGCTAGGGACAGTGGCTTACTCCATCCTAGCATTTTTGGAGGCCAAAGTGGGAGGACTGCTTGAGACCAGGTCTGAGCAACAGGGAGACCCCGTCTTAGCCCAGCGTACCTGTAGTCCTAACTATTCAGGATAACACCCATTGCACCCTAGCATAAGCAACAATTTGAGACCCAGTCTCCAAAAAAAATAGTAGTAGCTAGGTATTCCAGACTCTCCCAAGTGAATGCATGTGCTCCCCGTGGTATTTTACCCACACCTCTATTATAGAATCTTTGCTCATGCTTCTGTTCTTTTCAACTAATTGAGTCCCTTGAAGGCAGATGACCTACCTCATTCAACTATGTACTACATGCAAGGCCAGAAACAAGACACAAACACACTCACACACAGTGCCACTGTATGTTTGCAACCAGAGTGACTGCAAAGCTGGGCATAGTGGCTCACACCTGGAATCCTAGCACACTGGAAGGCTGAGGCAGGTGGACTGCTTGAGCTGAGGAGTTCAAGACCAGCCTGAAAAAGAGACCCTGTCTATAAAACTAGCCAGTTGTTGTGGTTGGGGCCTGTAGTCTCAGCTACTCGAGAGGCTGAGGTCAGAGGATCTCTTGAGCCCAAGAGTTTGAGGCTGCTGGCTC